AGCGCGAACCGCGGCGTTAGTTAGCCCTAAGTTAAAAACCCAACCACCACTGAAAATTCATAAGATTGCGAAGGAAAGGATTTGTGGCCGGCGAAGTATAACCTTGTTGTTCAGCGGCGGAAGGTTGTAAAGAACAGGTGAGAAGGTACAGAGATCGGTCAGTGATATCTCCTTTCTCCAGTGACTCAAAGTTCGCCCGCAGCGAAAGGCGATGCTACTTGGCGAGGGCATGAAATGGAAGCTTTATTATCCTTGCGGGGTCATAGGGTTCATTAAAAGAGCGAACTCATCCCACACGCGATCTTTTCGTATTGCACTAGTGCAATTGTTGAAGCTAGAGGTATTCCCAATGGAGGCGTTTCCAATGTTCCCTATTACAGTTTCTCTTCACTAGCGAATCCGTTGGCAAGTCCTGCTCCTCACTTCAACACCACCCCCTACGCTTTATATCGCGAACCGCACCTTTGACTGTATGCAAAATCCTTGCGTAGGCGTGGATTGGCTTGTTGGAGAAATTCGCTGGTTCCCTCGATTCGATCACGCCTCTGCCTCTTATGGAAACCTTTTAATTCGTGAAGCTGTGCAATAGCATGAATTTGGTTTGCATTTGACAAGAGTCTTCAGTGCTCACCGGGATGAGACATGTAGTCCAACAGGAACTTGTGAGGAATAGTGCCCTTCCTCTCCCCTGCCCCCCCCCCTTCCCCCGCCCAAAGCTGAAGAGCGCCACTTCCATAGGTAGTGGCAAAGCTGGGTCACTATCGCGGCTCTAAAGTAACAGGTTCGCTGGTGGATCATAAGGACGTTTGTACCCTTTGGGGCTGCTGAGGCGGCAACTGCGCTCGAGTACTCTTTCTGAGGTTATTAACCATTTGCTCACAACTACTCACAACTACTGCCTTTTGTGATCCTGTCACAGTGCTATGAGCGTCTACGCAACGCTGTCGGTATAGGGGTCCAAAAACGGTGAGGCGGTGGCGCTAATATTTGTTACTAGTATTATGCGTGAAGGGCAGGAGGTATTGTAGTGAGAAGTGGCGCGCTCTCCACTCGCGCGGTCCGTGGGTTCGAATCCCGGGTCGACTCCCGCCCAGGCCAACCAAGCCTTCTACCCTCCGGGGACGGTAAATTGGTACCAGATTCGTCTGGGAGGATAAAACACTGACTTGTACATCGGCTGGCCCCCGCAAGTCATTGTATAGGCCACATCGCATTCAATAAGCCACTACAATGGAAGTAGAATGCGTGCCGCATCCCACAAAGGGATTGATCAACGGCGAAGACTTTATCCTTTATCCTTTATTATGCGTGTAATGGCTTTCTACCCACCATAGTTATGTTTTTTTCGCATTTGATTATCTCACTTTCAGGCTCCAGGAATACTGAGCAGCTTCAGTAAACGTCAGCTGGAGTTGATATGCATGGCGAAGGTTGTCAGTAGGAAAACTGGTATGGTAGTCCTTTCGTGCAAAGTCGTAAAAGCACTAAATTGCAATTTTTGCAGAATTATTCGCTTCGTTATCAACAGCTTTCGCCGCGCTTGCGTCCATCAACGCACTTTACCTGATAGCTGGGTGAGTAGAAGTCATTGTTGTAGTAGAAAATGGAATCCTACGTTACTGCGGATCGAAAACTCAACGCGTTCATCTAGCAACATCTGAGAAAAGCTGAATAACATGGTCTCGATCAGGAGTATCATTTCCTTCTTTGAGCCAAAAATAGTGTAAAAGCTCAGAGGGAGAGCCGCAATCACTTATAATTAGCTAACATTATTGTAGGGCGAACTGCAACCAGTGTGAATACAACGAACAACCCTGTGTGATTTTCACATCAGAATGAGGTAGTGTAGCTGCGGTAAGGCAGAAGGTTGCTCAAGTGACTCCGCCCGCATTGATAGATGTCTTGTGTGCTGTCTTGGTCAATTGCATGCTCACTCGCTGTTTTCCGTGGCTTCTCTATCAATAACCACGTCGATTTTTATCTCTCGCTTGGCACAAGCAGGACTCCTTTGAGCGTCTTCGGGTCCCTCCCCTTTTTTACGGGAAGGCAGCTAGCGCATACACTCCGTTTCTAACACCCTACCTACAAGCCGTTCGCTCATTTTGCTAGCTCATCGCGAAGTCTGCCTTCAAGCCGCGGTTCAGTCCCAGAATTTTGTTGCGCTATTGCGATTCGTGGCCTTAGGTGTCCAGTGCCCTGGAATACAGTCAATTTAACTGAGCTACTTGGCTGTGTAGACTAAAGTGGAAGGTAAATAAAATAAATGATGCACCATCATCTCACGAGCATTCGAAGGAGAGAGACACTGCTGCATGGGTGGGAGATCGGAGACGAAGGGTGAGAGAACACCAGAGCCGGTTGGAAACTATCAGGACGTCAAGAGCTAATCAGAGGCCCCGGCGTATTAGGCAGCGTGTAGACCTGTCACGCTTCAGCACGCGCTGATTGTCGCGCTTCAACGCGCGTCGATTGTCGCGCTTCAACGCGCGCTGCTGCCCTTGAACACGCTACAATTACACTCCAATTGTACCAGACCCAGCTTCCCTTTATGTTCTTTCTTCCGGTATTCAACCCCTTTTTCACTGTTTCTCATTTCTACCTGATTCTTAGCTCCTCTTTTTCACTTTAACATTGAATTTTAATGTAGTTTTTGATACAGGACACTGTGATAATGATTTTGAACCGTTCCAAAAAAACTCGTCGTCAAAAACGTCAAAAACTCAAAAAACTCAAAACGTCGCCAAAATGGTCAAAAACTACATTAAAGGCAGTTGGCACGATAAATCCCCCAAGGCGAGTAGGATTAATACGCCTGGCAGGACGGAATTCCGCGACCCTGAGCAGGCGCTGCATAGCGCCTTTCCCAAGGGAGGTGCCCTTATAAGGGGCCCTATCAATTGGCTAAAACAAGCGACCAGAACACCCGCCCCTACGGCCCCGCCACAATGCGACGACCGTTCCTGGAGGTTCTCGTACTGGTTGTACTTGCTAAGTAAAGCGAAGGGGTTGGTATGAAGCGGCCGTGATGCTGCATGGCATATATGGGTACACATATGCAGCCGTACCTTCGGTAGCGGTTATTGGCAAGATGCCTACGGGAAACTCGTCCAAAATCGATTTTCAAGTCATTGAGAACGGAGGCTCTTCTTCGTAGGATTTTGACCGTTCCACCCGTTCTTTCGCCATTCCCCCACTATATAGCGCCCTACTGCATTTTAAGGACCGAACACCGAATCATCCTCACTGCCTACACCAACATTCAATGTCAAAGTGAAAAAGAGGAGCTAAGAATCAGGTAGAAATGAGAAACAGTGAAAAAGGAGTTGAATACTGGAAGAAAGAACATAAGCGGAAGTCGGGGTCTGGTACAATTGGGGGCAAGTTTGGCGTGTTCAAGGGCACTTGCGCGCGTTGAAGCGCTGATGTTCTCGTCACTGATGTTCTTGCAGTTTCTCAGAGAGTTGTAGTTTACTTTATACTCTGGAGATATTGTTAATGAATCCATGATTTGCAGGTTCTGTGAGGAAATGTCTGTGATGATGAATGTTATCAGTTTTATGTGGATGAACTGCTCAATGGTGGTGATCTTGGTTGCGCACAAGCAACCGGCTCAAACCCTATTCGAGGTGAGAATTTTTGCAGAAGCAGTATTGAGTAATGGTGACATAGCTGTGACTTCAGAAACGGGTCAAGTGGGCCGCTAGGCCCGAAATGGGGAAAGCGTATTTACTTATTACTTTAGTTGTAAGCGTAGCTCCGGTAGACAGCTGCCATTTATAGGAGCTGCACACTCACTTCCCTGGACGTTCCTTTCCTTGCCAGGGGTCCACACTCCGCCAGCGCCATCCTCAATGTGTACCGCTTACGTCGGGACCAAGATCCCGCAGCAAACACACGCTCAGCGCTAGAGAACAAGCAGAGGTGATAGAGCAGAAGCAGATAGCGCCTCCGGCTACACTTAGACCTGTGGCTGGCCGTGCGCCAGCCCAGGTGGAATATGCAGACAGCTTCCCGGTATCACCACCTTCCAGCTCGTTTCCATGCACCTTTGACGGCACGCCACTGCAGCTGCTCACTCATTCACCTCATATGTGAGAAGGACTAGGATCCACGGAGGTGAGGGTGCAGTATATCTTTGAAGCCAGAGACAAGAGCAGCTCCTTTATAGGTGAGGAAGGGTCTCCCAACTGCAACTGATACATCTCTCACCTCTTTCTTATCTAATGGCAGCTGTCGACAGATGCGCAGCCCTGCCGTGCTCTGCATAATACGTGAACACGCCCCACCCATCTCCAGGATATGAACTGTAAAACCCGTTGGTCAGCTCATATGTCTGCAATACTAGACGCAAAAATGCGAAAATTGGTGGAAAATATGAAAACCAGAATAAAAATTCAATAAACTTCTGAAGAGAGATGAGGGTGTTGTGCGCTCGATTGCGCCTTGCGTCGCTTCGCGTATAATTGTAATATGTTTGTATGTAACTAATATATCGGTGAAGGGGGAGGTACATCTTTGTGAGGCGCAGTTTGACGACGGAGGTGGGGAGGGGGAGCATTTTGCACTTTTGCTACTTCCCATCGACGTGTCGACCTATCTAGACAGCCTCTTCTCGAGTTGACAGGTTTTACCATGATGGCTTGACGACCTTGCTCCAGCTTCACAAGAGTTCACAGGTTTCGCCAGAGTGAGACATGTAAACCGGAACTAAGGAAGCAATGATAGTACAAAATGCCCCCCCCCGTCGTCAAAGTGCGCCTTCTAGTGATAAGTATTGGAGCGCAAGCTGCGGCGCTAAACACTCGTTATCATCTTAAAACATTTTTTCAAGATGTTTTTTTCTATACTTCAACTAGCACACCTTCAGATCAACAACACTGCTCAATTATTGCTTGCTGATGAATTTTGTCAAAACTCGAAGGATG